GCAAATTGAGACCGTTATCTGCTCGATTGCGGCCAAGGTCAGCAGTGACCCAACTCAGGGGGCCGTCGGAGCCGGCCGCGGCGGCAGCGTTGGAGTCTGCTGAAGAAACCTGTGGGTGGAGGCGGACGTGGGAGGGAGGAGCCCTCCCCCTGCGTGCTGGGGTGAGAGATGTGCCGTTCCCATTTGTGTCTCACGTCACTCATGCGGTGTCTTCTCTTTTGTCGTCCCACCCAGCGTTGCGAACCCACAACCTCACTGTGCCTCCCTCCCACAATGCTACCTTTGTCTTTACCAATGACTCCGCTTACTCCAACTTCTCCGCGACTGTCGGTGAGCACCCGGTGCTTGGTCCCCGTCACATTTGGAGCCCAGGGAAGTTTAGGACCGGTCTAATCTGGTTCTGTAGGACTCACTCGGCTGGTAAAAAGGAGTGGGTGGCCAGGTGCAAGTGATGGACGTCAAGAGAGAGAGCCAGGGTGTTGGGGAAAAGGCACACAGGCTTCTGGCTTGGGAAGCCTCCCTCACAGGCATGTCTGGAAGGGGCGGAGGCTCTTCTACAATGCCAGACTCTTTTTTTTTTTTTTTAAATTTTATTTTATTTTATATTACAATACCATTCAGTTCTACATGTCAGCCACGGGTTCCCCTATTCTCCCCCCTCCCACATCCTCCCCATACCCCCAGCCTACCCCCCATTCCCACCTCCTCCAGGACAAGTCCTCCCCCGAGGACTGTGATTAACTTGGTAGACTCAGTCCAGGCAGGTCCAGTCCCTTCCTCCCAGACGGAGCCAAGTGTCCCTGCATAAGCTCCAGGTTTCAAACAGCCAACTCATGCAATGAGCACAGGACTTGGTCCCACTGCCTAGTTGCCTCCCAAACTGATCAAGCCAATCAACTGGCTCACCTATTCAGAGGGCCTGATCCAGCTGGGGGCCCCTCAGCCTTTGGTTCATAGTTCATGTGTTTCCATTCATTTCAAAGCCAGACTCTTTTGAGTCAGTCATTTGATCTCAGAAGCAAAAACAAGCAGGTCCCAGATCTTTCTGAAACACTGAAAATGGATTCCCCCTCCCCGTTTTTTTAGAGACAAGGTATATGTAGCTCAGGCTGGCCTCAAATTCTCTGGGTAGCCAAGATTGAACTCCTGCTCCTCCTGCCTCCCAAGTGCTAGGATTCCAGCTGTACACCACCACCATGCTTGGAAGAAACTGGAGTTTTGAATACATTGTGTTCTTTGTGGGGGAGGGGCTGGGGGAGGCTAACCCTGCCCCGTTCACGGACAACCGCAAGTTGATTTTAAAACTCAGGCAAAAAAAAAAAAAAAAAAAAATCTAGTTTCACAAACATCCCATCAGCATTTCTGCAGCTGCATTCTGAAAACTCTGTAGGAGCCATTTTAGAAGACACGCCCACTCAAGTCAGATGATTGCCAGTTAACCCAGAGCCTGTGATTCCCTTGAGCTCGGAGCTGAAGGGACAGCAGTGACAGGCATGGAAAGCCTGTTCAGATTGTGTATGCCCCTCTCTCTCTTTTCTTAGCACATCATCCAATTTCTCTCTCCACTGTGGGCTGCTTAGCATCTCTAAATGATTTTCCTAAGCAAGCAGTCTGGTTCTTGGGCCGGAGCAGTCTGGCTCAGTTATCTGGCGGGTAGTTATCCATTTAGTGAAGTAAGATATAGCCCTCCCATGGCAACCAGTGGGATTAGTCGAACCAGAGGGTTTAAACAATGGAGTCCTTGCATGGAGGTCCACGTGACAGGGAGTGTTGCACCCAGCCAGTTATACGTGTGAGCAGGGCGTCCAGATCTCGAATGCACAGTTGGCCAGTAGCCGGAAGGACATGCACTACCAACCTCCCTGTTCCTACCCAGGTTGCGGCAGTCACCTGGGTAATGCTCATTCTGATGCATAGCGAGAGCTCATCACCAATCATTTCTAGAGTGTTCACTTATCTGTCTATAAAGCAACCACCTTGCTTTGGCCGTGGCACACACCAGCCACGCATGACACATGACAAAACAAGGTCACGGAATGAGCTGTGTTGGAGACTAGGGTGTGTGGCTCTCCGGGATTGCTGTTGGCAGGCCCTTCAGGGACTTTCCGAATGGAGCTGTGGTTCCTCCTGGGTCTGGATGTGGCTCTAAAGCTGAGGTTGCATACGCAGAGAGGACCAGCAGGCTTCAGTGAGTAGCCAGCAAGACTGATCTGCAGCTGTGGCCTCACACTTTAAATAATGAGAGTGCTCCATCCAGAAAGCTCAGCGTGAGTCAGGAGTGTGAGTGGCGTTTAGGGTCCAACAGTTGACAAATATGTCAGTTACAATATTGTTGCATTAAAATATAGGTTATGCTGACCTGTCATTAATAGGAGGGTAATAATTTATTCCCTAACAGTTTAACTTATGAATCATTCACACCCTCACTATCAATAATTAAGTACTAGTGGATGCGATTACTGTCGGGGAATAATGTGTGATATTAAGCATGCATTATGAAGGAAGATAGCCCTGCAAACTCAATTTGTAAGTTGCTTATATAGGTCTGACATGTGTGTTTTAGTCTCCTGGTGGCAACGGGGTGACTGACATGTCCATTTCCTTTCTTAGATATCATGGAAGGGAAGGTCAACAAAGGTATTTACCTCAAGGAGGAGAAGGGAGTGACATACCTCTACTATGGCAGCTTCAAGTCATCCTGCATCAGCAACCCGGCCCAGTGTGGACCTGAGGGTGAGTTGGGGCTGAGATGTATGCTACCCTACTAGTGGCGCATGTGAACAGAGTGAGTATGTGTGTGCGCGCGCACGCGCGTGTATATATGTGCATGGGCGTATGTGTGCATGGGCGTGTGTGTGTGTGTGTGTGTGTGTGTGTGTGTGTGTGTGTGTGTGTGTGTGTGTAAGCAGTAAATGTGCCCATGCTCCAGAGACAGTCACTGGGTGTCCTCTTCTATCACTCTGTGCTTCATTCCTCTGAGATGGAGTCTCTCATCGGCCCTGGAGCTAGGCTCACAGCTCTAGCAATCTTCTAGAATCCTCCACCATAGCATTGGGGTTATAGGTGAAACTTACCATGCCTGGCTTCTTCTTCTTCTTCTTCTTCTTCTTCTTCTTCTTCTTCTTCTTCTTCTTCTTCTTCTTCTTCTTCTTCTTCTTCTTCTTCTTCTTTTTTTTTCTTTCTTTTTTATGTGGGTTCTAGACATCTGACCTCAGGTCCTTATACTTACGCAGTGAGCATCATTCCCTGCTTTATCATGTCCCCATCCTATGAGAACAGGCTTCTTAGCAACTGCAACGTGTGTGAAAAATGTCAGATGCAAGTTGGGGAGAGGGAAGGGCTGCAGCCACTTGAATACAGTCCCCTGTCCTGGAGACAGAAAATTAGGACATGGCCCTACAGAGCCAGGAGATCAAAATATCAAACCTTGTAGAGGAATGGGGGACACCCCACTTTAAAACACAACTGCTGAGATAGATGTCACTGGGGCTGGGCTGGGGCCCGGCACTTGTGGGAAGGAAATTGATGGTGTGGCTCTCAACGGCGTTATTTCTGGATCTGGGATGTTGATGACAGGTCAGGCCTGGCAGAGCAGGGTGTGCCTGTTAACCCTCAAACCGGGTTCACTTCTTATGTGTTCACTGAGGGTGGCTGGGTGGGGGCTGGACCCGCTCCAGCCTGTGACCTGTGGCTGGAACTCATGACAGGTGTGTCAAAGAGAAGGCAGACCCCCTCTTCTCCCCTTGGAACCTGGGCCACATTCGAATCCTTTGGGGGACATTGTCCTCTGCCCCCCAAGCCAGCCTCATGCCCTTTTCCTCAACCTATTCACCCAATTAATGCTGTTTGCAAGGGCACGGGTGTGGGGCCATCCACCAGAGCATGGGCAACCTGTCAGCGGCCACAGCCCGGAAGCAAACTGACTCCTCCCCCAGTAGTCACCAACTGTCAATAGTGCCTGAGCGAGGAGTGGGACCTCACCAGCCCCTCCTCAGCCTGTGTCGGAATGTTGACTGACTTGACGTTGTATAAGTGACCACAGCCGCCATGAGCTTGTGAAGACAACGGCCGCGTCATGTCCGGAAGATGGCATTTCCTAGCACTTCTCCCACCCTCCGGCTCTTATATCCTTCCTGTCTCCTCTTCTGGGATGGTCCCCAGGCCCTAGAAGGGTTGGTACAGATGTCCCATTTAGGGATGAGCACTCAGTGGCCACGTGGTCACAGCACTTTGAACAGTTACGAATCTCTGTGTCAACCACTGCCCACTGTCAAAAGAAGCTCCCCTGACCAAGGTGGACAGGAACAACGATCCATGGGTGTAAAGAAAAATATTTGGAAGGCAGCTTGATCACGTGTCCATCTATCAAAGCAACGGTAGTAGGTTTCCCACCGAAGTCTATGACTTCCTCAACCACACACTGTTGACCAAGTTTACAGTACCAAGGCATGAATTCCTTCCTGGGTGCGGGCATCAGATCTAATTAGAAGATGGTTGGTTACCTCCTACCTGTCATGCCGTTACTGTGCCAGTGAGCACATCTTACCTGGCAGACCAGTATTTTATCATGCAGGGTCTAGCAGTGAGTAAAATCAATGATTACTTTTCGTTCCCAGTAGTCTGCATAGCACCTTCCAGCACTGTGAAAGCTAGCCAGCAAAGAAGTTTTCAGGTCAGTCCTTGCTGGATTTCTCTCCGTCCTGCAACCAAAGTATGTGGTGTCTTTAGCAACATGGGCCTTACCATCTAGTGATGATAGGGAACCCAGCCATGGTAAGTTGCTTCAGGGGTCTCTGGGGCCACTCTGACCAATACATAACTTGTAAGGAGGGTGTCCATGCCTGGCACTGAGATTTTCATTTAGGAACTCATATCTCGGGCTAGGCAGTGGTGGCACACATCTTTTAATCCCAGCACTCAGGAAGCAGAGCCAGGTGGAACTCTGTGAGTTCAAGGCCAGCCTGGTCTACAGAGGAGTTCCAGGATAAGCTCCAAAGCTACACAGAGAAACCCTGTCTTGAAAAATATCTTCTGAGAGCCTCATTGTTGGCCTATGCAGGGCATTTCCATTCAAATTCCTTTTTAAAATTATGTATTTTAAGTAGCCAACAAAGTAGTGACTTTCCACAAGTATTTTTCGCATATCTTCAGTCTTGGTTAACTCACCCCCAATCTCATCCCTCTGCCCCCCCCCCCCCCCCCCCCCGTTCCTACTTAACCCTTTAACCCCAGCATCCCCCACTTCCGCTTTCACAGCCTGTATGTTCAGGCCTCTTCCCCTCCCCTTCCCATGGGTCCTCTCTGGCTCCCCTACAGACATTCAGAATTAAACATACAAATCTGGAAATTCAAAGCCAGGATCTGCATATGAGAAAGGACGTGAGACATTATATCTTTCTACACCAGGGTGACCTCACTTACTGTGATGTTTTCTGCTTCCACCCATTCTCATGCAAATTTCATGATTTCATTCTGTTTTTTTTTTTTTAAACAGCTGAATGAAATTCAGTTGTGTAATAAAAGCACCACCTTGTATTATCCGCTCAGCCGCTGATGGACATCTAGGATGGTTCCATTTCTTGGCTATCATGTATAGACCAGCCATGTCTCTGTGGTAGGATGTGGAGTCCTGTGAGTAGACGCCAAGAGGTGATATAACGAGGTCACAGGGTAGTCCTATTTTTAGCTTTATGAGAAACTGTGGAGCAATTTTCAGGTCAAAGTGTCAAAGTCTTGGTGTTTGCTAACCTATAGCTGGTCCCCAGTTCAATCGGCCATCAAAACACCACCAGGCTATTCCCCACCCCCCACCCCCCACCCCGCCGCCACCTCTCCATTTCCCTTTCAAGAATTGGAGGAACGCACCTCACACATGGTTTTATGTTCTGGAGATCCAACTCAGCGCTTCATGCATGTGTTTGCTGGCCTTCACGCTTTGCATAGGCCAGCATCCCACCAACGGAGACACACATGCAACCCAGAGCATCAGCCTCAGGGAGCTGTCTGTCTCACAGAGTACCCATGTGGGGAAGCTGAGAGCAGGAAGGGCCTCTCTGGGGATCTGGGGAGCTACCTGTAGACCTTGGGCTCTGCTCCATACTCCCTTTGCTTGGCAAGTGCCTCTACGTCAGACCTCCTGTCTCTGTGTGGCAGCTCCTCCATAAGCCGTGGTGATTGATGGTGGGATACTGTCACATCTCCTTCCTACTCTCTGGCACCGTGGGGGACTCTGTCTGGACCACCCGCTGGTTCTCTGAGGCCTTTACTGTGTTCAGCACAAGGCAGCACTCGTAGTGCGTTTACGGAGCAGGCGCAGCTGGTCTGGACGCCCCATTGATGCTTCTGTCTAACTCAGAACATCCCTGACAAGGGGCTGTGGAGAGATTAGGATTTACTGATCCTAACAAGAGCGAACTACGGAACCAATGTGCTGTGCTGGGCTCACTCTTTTCCCCTTCAGACTTCCTTCTCTGGGTTGATGATCTGAGCATTTGACAGGTGCTCCTGTGGGCACATGGTGAATCTTTCCAGACCGTGGAGACACAGACTGATGTTTCAATGAGGGCTGTGGCAGACGGGAGTCATTACTTTGCAGGTTGACTGAGCTAAAACGAGCTGCTTTGCTGGCAGAGTTCACGACCCACTTTCTTCTTGTCCCGGTCCAGCACTATACTGAATTTTTAATTTTTATTCTTATTACCTAACACTCTATTGAATTTTTTATTTTTATTTCTCTTCCTGGGCAGAGAGGTACATTTGGCGGAGACAGCATCGTTTTGCGTTTTCAGTTGAGTGAAAGGATTTTTTTTTTTTAAAGCAGTAACATTTTTGGGGGGCGGGTGGGGAGAAATGACTTCCAGGAGTCTTGCTGGAGATACATTTCACAACGAAAATTCCACAGTGCGCCTTGTTCATTTCCATATGAAACTGGCTGTTTCTGAGTGCGGCGGGGTGGGCCAGGGTGCCATCTGATCCTGATGGAGGAAGGATGGGAGGGAGAGATCTAAGTGCCCTCCTCCACAGCCAGAGTGACCAGGACCTCAGCAGCATCCTCCAGCCTCTGTGCTGCCTCTCACTGTCACCCTATCCTAGTGTTGGAGACCTCACAGGATCACTTTCCTGAGCAACCCAAGGATGCCTCTTGGATTCTCCCCAGAGCTCCCAGAGCCCCAGAGAGGCCTGGGACCTCCCTAGTATTTGGAGGTTCTTAAAAAACAACAAAGCCTTGATCAGTTTGGGAGGCAACTAGGCAGTGGGACCAAGTCCTGTGCTCATTGCATGAGTTGGCTGTTTGAAACCTGGAGCTTATGCAGGGACACTTGGCTCCGTCTGGGAGGAAGGGACTGGACCTGCCTGGACTGAGTCTACCAGGTTGATCGCAGTCCTTGAGGGAGGACTTGTCCTGGAGGAGGTGGGAATGGGGGGTGGGCTGGGGGTAAGGGGAGGGGGTGGGAGGGGGGAGAATAGGGGAACCTGTGGCTGATATGTAGAACTGAATGGTATTGTAAAATTATATACATATACATATATATACATATATATATATATATATGTATATATATATATATCATAGTTTTGAGCCAGGCATGGTGACACATACCTTTAATCCCAGCACTTGGGAGGCAGAGGCAGGTAGATCTCTGTGAGTTTGAGTTCAATCTTGTCTACATGGTGAGTTCCAGGACAACCAAGGCTACAAAACAGCCCAAAGCGCTCTCTCTCTCTCTCTCTCTCTCTCTCTCTCTCTCTCTATCCATCTACTCCCATGGCCAGAAAACTAAGCAAGTCCTCTACCACTGATCTACATCTTCCACTCTTCTTTTACTTTTTAAATTTAAAAAAAATTTTTATGTGCATTGGTGTTTTGCCATGAATGTCAGGTCCCCTGAAACTGGAGTTACAGACAGTTGTGAGCTGCCATGTGGGTGCTGGGAATTAAACTTGGCTTCTCTGGAAGAGCAGTCAGTGCTCTTAACCACTGATCCATCTCTCCAGTCCCCCCCCCCCTTTTTTTTTTTTACTTTTTATTGGAAGACAGGATCTCACTAAGTTGTCTAGCATTGTCTTGAACTCACTATGTAGCCCAGGCTAGCCTTGAGCTTATGATCTCCCTGCCTCAGCCTTCCAAATAGCTGAGATACAGACCTGCACCACCATCTTTGACTGGCTTTTATTTATTTTTTTCCATTTTTTTCATGTGTATGTATGTATGGGTGTCTACATGTATGTGTGTGTGTGCGGGCATGTGGAGGCCCAAGGTTGGTGTCAGGATTCTCCTTTAATTGCTCTTCCACTTCATTTATTGAGGCAAGGTCTCTCAATTAAACCCAGAGCTCATGGATATGGTTTGTCTTGCTGGTCAGCTTGCTCTGGGGACTGTCTGTTTCAGTCTTCTGAGGCTAGAGTTATAGACAGGCTGCCATGGCTGTGCATTTATGTGGGTTTACAGAAATCCATATTCCAGAAGTCATAGTTGCCTGACAAATGCTTTCACCACTGAGCCATCTCTGGACTCTTGACTTTCATCTTTGATCCACACTGAGCGATAATGTGTTTTATGGGTATTGTATGTCACATCAACACCTATGTGCTTAAGACTAACCTGCGCAGGGCAATTCAAAATCTGTCATCACAAGAATTTTTCAGTCACTCATCACTTTTTGGGGAACATTCAAAATCTTTAGATTCCTCTTAGGTAGAAAAAAAATAAGGGAAAAATTCCAAGCCAAGGATAGAAAACTTGTGCCACACCTCCCATGCTTGAGTGAGTCATATGGGGACTTTGAAACCAGAAGGCATGAGGCAGCAGTACTATCACGAGACCTTCAAAAGACTCTCACAGACCAACCCATAAGGCCTTGCAGCAAAGATGGCTGGCAAGGAGACACCAATGCATATGTCAGAGCCAGTGGTCTGGTAAGCCTCTGTACATGACCTCAATTTGTTGATAACAGCTAAAGTGCATTTGGTGCCATTTATATTAATAAGGCCAGGGCAAATGTCCCCACTCCTCCTTGTACCCTGGTCCATGGTGGCCTATTATGATCAGCCCTGTGGGGAGATCAGCTTGAGTCACGGACACTCCGTCACCTCCCTGGCCAGGTGGGAGGAGCCAGACAATCATTTTATGTCTACCTTTCACATAGAGTCCAGTCGGTGGCCAGCTTAACATACACGTGTGCATACAAACACACACATACGGTGTGCACATCTGCTAAGGGAAGTGGGCACAGGTTACCAGAAGCACGAAAGCTATAGTATAACCTCAGGGATGTCTATAACCCCTGGGTGCCTCCCACCAGATCTGTGCTTGATGGACCTGAGTGAAGGTGGGCCCAGACCTGCCTGTGTGCATGCCAGACACTCTTGGCCATCCAGAGCCTGGCTGGTCAGCTATATTCTCTCTGCATCTGGGGATGAAGGGGTCACATCCCCTATGACCTGACTCATTCATGATGATGTTTGTAGCATCATAGGACCACATAGTCCACGTGGGGTACCACCCTCATGCCAGCGTAGGAGCTGGGATCCTAACTTATTAGGATAAACGTAGGGGAGAAAGTTGTTTTTCTTTTAGCTCAAAATTCCAGGTTATAATTTACCATTGTAGGCCAGTCAAAGCAGAAGGGACTTGTAAATCTGTCCCTCACGTCATATCCACAGTCAAGAGCAGAGAGAGAATGAATATATGCCTGGTTTGTTCTCAGCCACCTTTCTCTACTCTTATAGGGTCCAGGACCCAAACCTAGGGAATGGTGTTGCCCACAGGGGGCTGGTTCTTCTCACACCAATTAAAGCAATCAAGACAATCCCTCACAGGCACGCTCACAGACCAACCTGATCTAGATAATCCTCTACTGCGACTCTTTCCACCAGGCCGTTTTAGGTTGTGTCAAATGGATGATTAAAACTAGAGCTATCACACCTACCCATACTGGGCATTTGGAAAACACAGTCGATGCTCTTATCTCTGCCTACCTCACACCTTCACCCACAGGCAGTCAGCTGCCAAGGCATTCTGAACCTTGAAAAACCAGATTCCCTCTTCACAAGAACACCCCCTGGGGAACGTGCTCTGAAATACATACAATTTGAGATATGTCAAAAAAAAAAAATTAGCTTCAAGTTCTGTTTGGAATGTTCCTTCAAAACTTTGAAGCAAACCCTGTGACTCAGAGACAGGGGGTTGTTTAGGATGTGACACCCGGCAGACATAAAAAACGGCAGTGGAAAAGCGTATTTAGAGATGTGGGAGGACACTCCGGAGGCAGTACATCTTTTAAAAAGATGTTGTGTGTAACCAGAATGAATGAAACAGGTTCCTTCCTTTGTGAAGTCATTGTCAGGATCTGGGTGAGTAGGTGGGGGTGGAGGCTGTGTCGAAGGGGTTCACATTTGCATGCTCAGAGTCAGCCAGGATGGGTCTGTATCCGACCTCCGTCCGTCACTAACCCGCTGGCCTCAGTTTCCCTTCTGAGCACGGGGGAATGGGAGCAAGGCTTCTTACTATTTGAAAGGGGATGGTGGATCCGGTCACACCCTTGGGACGGCACTTGGCTTTGACCAGATATTGCTGTGGCATTTCATGCTGCTGCAGCCCCGGCTGATAAACCTGTGTTTCTCTCTGCAGGAGTGACGTTTTCATTTTTCTGGAAGACTCAAGGGGAGCAGCCTCGACCGGCCCCCTTCGCTTATGGGGGACAGGTCATCTCCGACGGTTTCAAAGTCTGCTCTAGCGGTGGAAAGGGCTCCGTGGAGCTGTACACGCGGGATAATTCCATGACATGGAAGGCCACCTTCAACCCTCCGGGTGAGTGTGGTACCCACTGGAGCCTCTGTGCCCCTCAGTGATGACGGGACACCAAAGGAGTCTTTGTGGCACGGGGTTTCTTCTTGCCAGCAGCTTGGGAAGGTGTCAGGAGAACAAGAAGGGCACCTGTCACAAGATGACCTCCTGCCAAGTTAAAGCTCACTGTGTAATTGCTGTTACCCAGGGGCTGTGTGAGGCTGGCTCTCTGCAGAATGGAGGTGACATGGCAGTTGCCCGGTCATTGGCTGGGACCAAGTAGACGCTGTGAGGAGACGATGGACAGACCGTGGCTGAATCCCCCTGTCCCCACACCATTCAGAGAGGTGGCCTTGAAGCTGCTCCTAGAAGCGCAAGCAGTTCTGGGGAAGACAGGCTGCCAATCAGGGAGCAGGCAGTCAGGCAGGAGGAGAGGTTGGGGTTACTGTGTGGTCTCGACTAAGGATGTGCCTTTAGAACCAGTGGGAGGGGACCGGGGTACCATGGGCCTGAGTTTCAGAGTAGGCAGAGACGTTCTAATGGTCGGTGGTATCAAGTTCATTAGTCGGGCTGGACGCTGAAACCAGGGTCGCTGAGGATAGTACAAGATACCAGAAGAGGAAGGTGACCAGGAGCGTCATGGGACATGTCCAGGGGGAACCTGGACAGAAACCAGCCAGGTCAGAGGTGGGGGAGGGGCTGCTCCATGCTAAGCCTTTAGAACAGCAGTTCTCAACCCTTTGGGGGTCGCATGTCAGATATTTACGTTACGATTCATAACAGTAGCAAAATGACAGTTATGAAATAGCAACGGACATGGTTGGGGGGTCACCACAATGTGAGGAACTATATTAAAGGGTCGCAGCATTAGGAAGGCTGAGAAGCACTGCCCTAGAAGCAAGCAATGTCTTCGAAATAGCTCAGGGTCCATTTCTGGCCCATTTGAAGGAGGCGGCATGGCTTAGCTGTTAAGCGCTGGGTCAGGTCCTGAATCTGCCTCGTAGCTTTATGGACCTGGTATCATAGTCCATCACTTGGCGCTTCAATTTCTTCATTTGTTACTTTTTGTTTGTTTGTTTGTTTTGTTTTTTTTCGAGATAGGGTTCTCTGTTTAGTTTTGCGCCTTTCCTGGATCTCGCTCTGTAGACCAGGCTGGCCTCGAACTCACAAAGATCCGCCTGCCTCTGCCTCCCGAGTGCTGGGATTAAAGGCGTGTGCCACCACCGCCCCACTTTCTTCATTTGTAACATTCGAAGAGTAGCAGTTATTTTTGCCCCCCAGGAAGACAGACAGTTGATGGATGGGGCGGGGGGGGGGGAGCCTTGAACAATGGCCTGCAGAATCCTGGGAGACTTGGGTTTGCCCTCTGGGTGCTGGACATGCTTAAGCTGAATTCGTAACTCCTTCTCTGTAAGGTGGGGGAAATGCAGCATCCAGGGAAGACACTGAATTTCTGGATGCTTTCCAAAACCGGAAACATTTTTGCCTTCCTACTTCCCGAGGCTCCTTCTGAACCTCTGAGATGGTTCTCAGTGAGGACCGCTGGCGGTCAAGATTTCCTAGGTAACAGCTCATTCCCTATGGGCCTTGGGCCTGTGGCACGGAGTCAGGCATCTAGCAGGTTCTTTGAAACTGAACACGTGCTGTTTTCCCACCCAGGGATGCCAAGAGACTTGTAAACAACCCCCAGTCATCTGCTCCTCATTTATTCACTGGAGGGCTTTGTTATTCTCACTTTCAAAGTCAAGTGCAATGATGCTTTGGCCCTGCTTAGGATCCGAGTGTTCCTCAGAGTGTCAAGATTACTAAAGTGTTACACAATCCCCAGCAGGAAGCCCTGACGTAATCACTGGCAGTCCACAGTGACCAGTGGGCAGGGGCACTGTGTGTCCTTTAGAGGGGCTCCCCTGTTCCTTCTTTGTCAACCCCAGGAGGATGTCTTATAGCAAGGCTCACAGAACAGACAAGGCCCTTTGTGGGCTGGTCTTCCCATCGACAAGAGGAAGGACCAAGAGTCTTCCTAAGGGGGGGGTTTATGATGGAGCCCAGAGGCTGGCCATAGCCATCATGTCACCTCGCTTTGGTTAATGCCATGTATGGTATGTTAGGACAGTCCCTTGGACGCTTTGGTGGCCCCTGCTCGGGTGACTGCTTAGTTATTCAGTGATGTTTTGAATGAGGCATGGCCAGCAGTTCTGATTTCATATCTGAATTGAGACCTTCCGTTTTCCCTTGGAAACAAAAGAGAATGGAAACCCCAGCTCCATCTTTTAGTGGCAGGAGGAGGAAGGGGAGGAATCCTCCTAGGAGCCACCTTTCTATACAGCCCAGTCAGCACAGAGGCCTGTCCTCAGTGAAACCAGGTTTCTAGTCTCCCTCTTCCTTGGTTCACACTAGGTGTGTGAACACTAGTCTGGCCTGACCGTACTACTGTTCTCAACAGCCTCCATTTTTTTTTTTTCACGGCGTTTAAAATTCATAGCGAAATTGAGCACAAGGAACAAAGGGCTCCCAGGGGCTCCCCACTTCTGCACATGACCAGCTTCCCCCCCCAGAAGCACCCCCCCCCCATCCCAGCACTGTGCTTCAGGGATGAGCTACTTGAATGTGTGCCTGTTTTTAGAGATGTCAGCGTCCACTCCTGGTGTCATAGCCTCTGTATGTAGGGGAGGAGTCCGAGTTTTGACCTTTTACCTATCTTTAAGTGGGGTATTTGCTTGCTTACTGTGAGTTTCAGAGTTCTTTGCACGTTTTGTATGACAATGTCCATTGCAGACACTTTCCTCGGCCTGAGGCTGGCCTTTTCATTCTTTCTATCAACAAGTTCTTTTACAGAGCAGACGTTTTCAGTTTTAGTGGTGACTAGCTTTTCAGGTTTTCTATCCCGGATGGTGCTTTTGATGATAAAAAGCAGTACCAAAGGGCTGGAGAGTACTGGCTGCTCTTCCAGAGGACCTGGGTTCGATTCCTAGCACCCACATGGTGGCTCAAGACTGCCTCTAAGTCCAGTTCTAGGGACTTTGACACCCTCTCTGGCTTCCTGTTTTGTTTGTTTGTTTTTTGAGACAGGATTTCTCGGTGTAGCTTTGCACCTTTCCTGGAACTCAATCTGTAGCCCGGGCTGGCCTTGAACTCACAGAGATCCGCCTGGCTCTGCCTCCCCAGGCTCTCTGGCTTCCATGGGCACTGCATGTATGTGGTGCACAGACATACATGTAGACAAGGCACCTGTCCTGGCTAGTTTCATGTGAACTTGACACAAGCTAAAGTCATCAGAGAGGAAGGGGGCCTCAATGGAGAAAGTGCCTCCTTAAGATCTGGCTGTAAGCAAGCCTGGAGGACATTTTCTTAATTTGTGATTGACTGGGAGGGCCCAGCCCATTGGGCCATCCCTGGCCTGGTGGTGCTGGGTTCTACAAGAAAGCAGGCTGAGCAAGCCATGAGGAGCAAGCCAGTAAGCAGCATCTTCCACAGCCTCTGCATCAGCTCCTGCCTCCAGGTTCCTGCCCTGTTTGAGTTCCTGCCCTGACTTCCTTTAATGATGACCTGTGATGTGAAAGCGTAAGCCAATAAACCCTTTCCTCCCCAGGTTGCCTTGGTCATGGTGTTTCATCCCAGCAACAGTAGCCCTAACTAAAACACCTACATACATAAAGTAAAACAAACATTTTTTTTTTTTAAAGTCAGAATCAAGCCCAGGGGCATTCTAGAGTCCCCCTTTTATATTCTGGAAGCTGTGCAGATCTGTGTTTGGCGTTTCCATCCACCACCCGCTTTGAATTAGTTTGGGGGTGTAGCAATGAGGTCCTTATTTATTCATTCATTGTTATTTTTGAATCCGGTTTCCCCAGCATCCTCCATTGCAGAGACTGTATTAGTTTCACTGTGGCTTTGTTTATTCCAATTTGGCTTTGTTCTTGTCAGGTACCATCAGCTGGTGTCTGTATTGCTCTATGTTTGGGCTGTCTGTTCTGTTCCTCTTGATCTGTTTGTCTCCCTAATACCACGTGGCTTCGCTTACTCATCCAAGCTTGTCCGACCTCTGGGCACCATCAACCAACATTACTACCTGCAGAGTTCATGCTCCGGACTTGTGCTATTGAATTGCAAAAGAGACTCTTACAACATTTTAAGTGTCTACAATTTTGCATTCATGGCTATTCTCAGCTGCAAGTGGCTGCATGCACCCCACAGGCCATGGCTGGGCGGGCCATTTTTAGTCTCAGAAGGAGGCCAAGTTAGCAGACGCTTCCCGTCAAACAGTGGAAGCTTTCCTTCAAAACTTAGCAAAGTCTTTAGTATCTGCAGTTTATAAAAAATTTAGATGAGTAAAATAATTTCATCAAAAATGGGAAGAGGCCATGTCGGTCTTCCAACTCTGTTTTTCTCCTCTTAATATGTGACCTTCCTTGGTATTTGTTTCTCTGTGTAGACTTTAGAGTCTAATGGTGGCTCTCCAAAAGACACCCTGCTGGGATTTGGGGGTATGAATTGTATTGAGTCTACTGAAGAACAGACTGGGATAGACTAATACCTTAACAACACTGAGTTTTCCTGTCTATGAACATGGGATGTCTCTCTAGACATTGCATTCTTTCCTTAGTTTTATAGTTTTCCTCAGTCATGTGTGTGTGTGGGGTGTGTGTGTGTGTGTGTGTGTGTGTGTGTGTGTGTGTGCGCTCATGACTGTGTGGGTGTGTGTGCCTATACACACACGCCACGTGTTTATTACTGTCAGGTTGGAAGACAGTCAACTTTTATCTCTTAGCTTTTTACCCACCCATCATGTGAACATCACATGGGCATTTCAGGCTTTGCTTTTATTCTTGATAACAAAGATATTTCTAGTCTGTCCTTTGCAACCCAGGTGCCTCTTTCCCTGCTGACTGTAATAGTGGGGACTGCTAGGAGCTGTGACAGAGGGTTGTCCTCACCTTGTTCCTGACCATATGGAGGTTTTCAAATAGGATTATGATCCGATTGGCTGGTGCTTGGATCTAGCCTTTTTTTTTGTTGTTGTTGTTGGTTGGTTGGTTGGTTTTTTGAGACAGAGTTTCTCTGTGTAGCTTTGGAGACTTTCCTGGAACTCACTCTGTAGCCCAGGCTGGCCTCGAACTCACAGAGATCTGCCTGCCTCTGCCTCCTGAGTGCTGGGATTAAAAACATGTGCCACAACTGCCCAGCTTGGATCTTGCCTTTTAAACAAGCCTTTTATTACCTTTGATTGTAGGTGTTTAAATTTGTGACTCTTGTGTTAAAATAATAAAGGGTCTTCTCGAGTTGCTTTTGGAACTTGGGGGTGAGCAAAGGTCATGTGCTCCAAAGGACTAAGGGAAGTCAGGTTATGTTATAACCCATAGTTGGACTCACTAAAGCCAAGGGTGACAGAGCATCCCGTGAAAGAGGGATGTGGTTAGGAGCTTAGGAAGCTCCTGTAGAACTCATCTGCTGGGCTCAGGATGTATCTTCGCTCTCTTCCAGGTCCTTACTGGACTCATGTCCTGTTCACGTGGAAATCCAAGGAGGGCCTAAAAGTCTACGTCAACGGGACTCTGAGCACCTCAGACCCAAGTGGGAAAGTGTCTCACACCTACGGGGAGCCTCATGTCAACCTGGTCATAGGGTCTGAGCAGGACCAGACCAAGCGTTATGAGAACGAAGCTTTCGATGAGTTCATCATCTGGGAACGTGCGCTGACTCCCGATGAGGTCAAGATGTACTTCACAGCTGCCGTCGGTCAGTGTGTGGGAAGGCTGTGGGTAGATCTGGGGTCCCCATCACCCTTCAGTCCTCCAGCTCATGTCAGGGCAGATGTGAGATGTGTCTTAATGAACCTTCTAAGTATAGTCATGTTTCTGAACACCTGTTCCCCAAGATAAATGAGCGAACAGTTCACAGGAGACACGCTGAGATTAATATTCTCTGATCCTTGCAGGCTCCGTGGGGTATACACAGCCTGATTACAGAGATTTTGATGGCAAATAGTCAGACCCTTGACAAATGCCTCCCATGCGCACAACCTCTGTGGGGCCCTCAGACCCCAGGGTACCTTCTTCTTGCTCGATTGCAGGTGATTGCTCCAAGCAGGGGCCTGTAGACAGGTGGATATGGTTCAGTTCTTACTTTGCCATGGGACTTTTAAAAAGCTCTGATAAATTTCATGTGACATCTGTGCAACCATTTAAAGTGAGCAACTAAAAATATGTAGGGCTGGAATGGTAGTTCAGTAAGTAAAGTGCTTGCCTCTCAACTGTGAGGACCTGAGTTAAAGTCCTAGGACCCACATTAAAAAAAAAAAAAAAAAAAAAAAAGGGTGAGCCTGGCGGTGGTGGCGCACACCTTTAATCCCAGCATTCTCTGTGAGTTCGAGGCCAGCCTGGGCTACAGAGTGAGTTCCAGGAAAGGTGCAAAGCTACACAGACAAACCCTGTCCCGGGAAAACAAAACAAAACAACCCCCCCCCAAAAAAAAAACCAAAACAAAAACAAAAAAATCCCAAAACCAGGGTGTGATGGTGTGTGTGTATAATCCCAGGACTGAGAAGGCAGAGGTAGGAGGATCTCTTGGACTCACTTTTCAGCCAGCCTAGCATCACAAGTCAGCCCCAGGTCCTAGTTTTTTTTAAAAAAAGGTGGACAGACAGATCCTCGGGAAAGACACTGAGGTTGACCTCTGCTTCCCCATGCACACACTGAAACAAAAAAAGCAATGGCATTAAGAGAATCAGTTTGGTGGTATTTAGCAAGTTCACAGGGTGCAACCACAGCCTCTATATCATCTTCAAATATTTCACCGTCCTTAAGGGGCATCCATGTCTATTAAGCCATCGCTGACTTCTGCAGCCACTGATCGATTTCTTTTTTCTGAGGTTCACCTGTTCTAGAGAGTCCATCCAAACGCCATCCCTTACTGACTCATAGGAAGATGGCTTGTTGATGTCTGTTCTCCCAGCAAGGCTCCCAGACCCTGCAGCTCAAGTGGGGAGCAGCTCCCACGCAGAGACAGAGAGGGTCAAGTCCAGATCTCAAGATCTCAGTGCACACGTCTGTGAAATCTAGGCATATGTACCCTCTGCCAGACGACCCCATAGTAAGAATCACTCAGGAATGAGACAGACCAAGGGTGGGGTGGAGTCTCGCTTCTCATCTCAATCTTGCATGCCCACTCCTATGGTATGCACGGAAACCCCCATTTCCATTGCCTTGATCTCTTAGCGGCATACAAGTCAACAGGAGTTGACTATTGTATGACATGAACATATGGCATGGTTGCCCTGTGACTTCTTGGCACCCAAGCGACGAATGTCACTTGATCTTGGAGAACAAAATACTTTTGGGGTCCAGCTCTACATCACCAGCCACCTCACCCCACCCAGTCCCAAGGGGCCCATCACTCTCAAGCCAGCCAGGGGGGGATGATGTCATTTCCTCAGGTCACCCCAAGCAACCTCGAGACATTTCCCGAAAACGAGGTCATGTACCAAGTTAAGTCTGTGTTCTCGTCAGGAAACAATAGAGTCAGAAGTAGTTGGTGAAGCGTAGGCAGAAAAACGTCAAGTGGGGTCTTCACCTTTGATCTTGGACATCTCGTCATGGGGAATGGCTCATAATTAACCATGATCATCAGTAGAGAGAATAACCAGGCTCTTCACAGCAGAAATTCTGTCTCCTTCATCACTTTTGGGGTGGCATTTTAGCCTAGTGTATCAGTTTCTTTTAAGCTGTAACAAAACACCTGACAAAAACTACTTACTTAAGTCGAATTGATGAATCCTGGCTCATGATTTCATAGGGTCCAGCTGGTGGCCACTGGGCTCCATGAATACATTTGAGTGGGACATCGTAGCAGAAGCGGACATCTAGTCATGTCACAGTGGGGCAGGAAGCAGAGAAAAATACAACAGGAAGTGGGTAGGGATAAATACACCCTCAGGGACCTGTCCCTAGCGGCCCTCACTTCTCTAGCTAGGCTCTGTCTCCCAGAGTGTCCAGAACCTTCCAAAAATAGTGCCACCAGCTGGGTACCAAATGTTCGAGTGTGGGAGACGCTTCTGATTCAAACCATAGCACCCAGTGATTAAGGATCCTGTGTCTTATCTATAATGAGTCTGGGTGAAACTGAAGCCTATTTCTCATTCTCTCTTTGTTTGAAATCCGTGAGACCTTGCATAAAATCATCCTTTTATGTGATGGTTTGCATGAACGGTGTTCAGAAGCAATTTACAATATAAATGGAAAAATAATTTCTGCTGGGAAAATCCATATAATCTACCTTTTAGGCTGATTTATGAGGCCTTTATCTTCCCAGCAACATCCATGCTCAAAACATCCCGCGCCTCTGTAGGACACCTCAAGCTGGTAAAATCCGAATAAGGGCAGGCCTCCCTGGGGGACGACCAAGGATGATTTAGCCCTCACGGAAGCATTGTTTTTTTCTCTTTCAGGTAAACACGCTCTGTTGTCTTCAACACCACCGGCGATGCCCACAGCACACTCCGTGGTGAGCAGGGGCCTTTTCCCTTTGCCCCATGTGTGAGTCACATTTCATAGCTGGGACAAAAATATGGGAGAAGACAACCCAAGGGAGAAACAGGGTTTTCAGTCTGTGGTGTGCTGGATGCCTTGCTGAGGGCCAGAGACAAGGCAGAAACATGGTAGAAAGCCAAGTGAGGGAAAGATGCTTCCTCTGCGCTCTGTAGCAACCAGGAAGCAAGGGTGGGGTTGGGAAGAGAGGTGGGGTAGGAGTGGGAAGAGAATGAGAGTCTGAGGATCATGCATCCCTCAATGGCACATCCTTCTTTGTCCACCTGGGCCCCACCCACCTCTATAGCCCATTCTATAACATACCAACTCATCCATGGATTTCATCCATTGATGAAGTTAGCACCCTGCCACAGCCCCATCACATCTTAATAGTGCCGCCCACTAGAGACCAAAGCTTTAACAGGGGAGTAGTTCACATTCAAACCATAACCCCACCCTCCTGGTGCTTGGGTTGGCTTGTGCTGTGTGCCAGCAAGGCCAGAGGCATGTCCAGGATGAAATAATAAAGGGAGAGAATCCAGTTTCAGGGTAACACTGGGGTGCCAGAGTGATGGGAAAAATGATCCCCTTGGTTCCTGTCCCTTGGGACGCTAGGAAGAAAGGAAATTGTGGGGAGCCAGTGACCCCTGAAATGGCTTCCTGGGCAGTTGAGACCCATCTCTTCTCGCCTTCCTTTGGTGACTCTTTTTCTGACATCGGAGGAATGGGTTGATTTATACAGAATTGTGGCTGCTTCAGATTGGTTTTTATGTCTAAAGAATGTATGTCCCTTGCTCAGGGACTTGGACAGCAAATGCCCGGACTCTAGTCCGCTTGGGTTCAGATCTTTGTTTACCGATCATCAGCTCTGTATGCCCCGCCCTCCTCTCTGTAAGCATGTATGGCCAGTTTCATCTTTCAAGCTGTTCTTGTTTCATGAGGTGGCTGTGAGGATGAGATGCTGCCCCTCTGCAGGCTCTTCACAGAGGCATCCGTGTGTGTGAGGGACCAGTCTTGGTACTGTCCTGATGGGACCAGAGCCAGAGGTCACCTTGAGCTTCTATAGAATGTCCTGGTTTTAGTTCCTAGCAGGAAGTCATGTGGCCACTGTATTTCAGATGCCCACAGACGCCTACCACCCAATCATCACCAACCTGACAGAGGAGAGGAAATGCTTCCAGAGGCCTGGAACCGTGCTGCGATACCTTCAAAATGTGTCCCTCAGCTTGCCCAATAAATCCCTCTCAGAGGAAACTGCGTTGAACCTCACACAGGTAAGGCTCTGGTGCCTTTGGCTGGTGGGTTGGGGCTGGCGCATGGCTGGACCATAAATTAGAAAGTTAGAAAGATCTAGAGCCATGGCTGCTGACTAGATGGCTCAGCAGTTAAGAACACTTGCGGCTCTTACAGGGGACTATAACTCAGCCCCCTAGCACCAAGCTGCATGGTTCACAGCCATCCATAATTCCAGATCCAGGGGATATAACGCCCTTCTCTGGCTTCCAGGGGCACCTACACACATCTGGCTTACATTCATGAACACCACACGCACGTGCACACGCACCCACATGCACACACAATGCTCTTGCACACTCATGTGCAAACAAACAAACAAACAAACAGCAAGATCAAGAGTCTTTGCCTAACAAAGTTTAGGCTTCTTCTAAACAGGCAGGTTGTTCAGGCCAGCTCTGTGATGCTCCGTGAAGCCTCCCTGAGCTGAGAATTCGATCTTCATTTCACTTCCCAGCATCTAGCCTTCCTGGTCCATCTGTACACCTACCTAGCCTCCAGAGCTTGCAACTCATGGTCTCAAGTCTGATGTCTCCTCAGCAATAAAGCAGATGTGGGGGATGTTAGCAGATGTAGTTAGAGGCCACAGATCATCATGTACAGTGTGCCTTCCTGAAGTCACCCAGAGCACTCTATGAGTGTGGTGCTTAGGACATTAAAGTGGAGACGTCCCCTTTCTTCATTCCTCCTAACAGTTCCCAGGGAGAGGAAGGAGCTTGAGGTATCTCACGGCTGTATGGTCTTCTCGACCCAGGGTTATTGTCAGGTATGGAGAGAGAAGGGGTATTTGAGGTAGGCCGTTCTTGAGAATACACCCCAAGGGGATGAGCAGGGAGTGTGGAGTCTGGCTGCTAGGCCCACCTTTGCCCTGCAGGTTACAACTGTGTACTTCTTCTTAGGGTACAAATGTTGCTGGCTTCCTGGCTATTCTGAGACATGGAGGCGATGGTTACTGTGACCATATCTCAGGGCACCAAATGGATCCCTGTGCACTTTAGTGTCTAGTTCTGAAGGCATACCCAGGGAAACATATCAAACCTGGGATATAGTGACCAGAGGCTCCCCAGAGTGGCTGGAGGTAGTCAGTAGCTTTCTTGATCAGGGCAGGAGAAGCAAGTTGGATGTCTGGTAGGTTCTAGAATTACACACCACCCCAAACTACCACGGCTTTCAAGAGGCTGAGGGGCTAAGATAGATTCAGGTTCTGGAAAGTGCTACGGAAGGATGGGCTTGGGGGGGGGGGGCTCGGCTCAGGTTCCAGGCTCTGGAGTGGATCAAGCTGGAGACGATCCCAGCCCTGTCCTCTTGGAAGTTTGGCAGGCACACTGTCTAACCCTGCAAGGCCTCACTTTCCCTGGAGGTGTGGAGGAGTCGTGCTGCCCGGATACTTAGCCGGTACCTGCATGGCAATAAGAAGGCTTCATCCTAGAGCAGGTGTGGACCACGGGGTCTGAGTCCTTGGCATTGACAGTGGCTGGGTGGGTCTGCTATGTGGCCCTCCTTAATGCGTCCTGACTGCTGATCTGTTAGTGTTGAGGTCATTGTGCTCTGAACTACAGTGTTCAATGGACCCAGTTTCTATATTCCCTATGTCCATACACGTACTCCCAGCCCTTTGCCTTCGTGTCTGGCTGTTCTAGGGAGGGGGAGTGCCTCATCTTTATAGGGCAGACGCCTTCCCATGATGCCCTGGTATCGGGGGCGTTATGGAGAGCCTGCTCCAAGGCCCCCTCCAGGGCAATGCAAGAAAATCCACGAAGGCGGCGAGGACTAGATTTTTTTTTAAATCTGAGGGTAATTAGGAGTAAGATTCTATCTATCTGACCGGTGTAAGGAGACACACGTGCTTTCTGATGTTAACTTTCTCTTTTACTTCATCTTAAGAATGATCTCTGACTCTGTCTCCATACAGCTACCTATCTCCACATTGCTACATTCTATACACACAGCTACATGTCTTTCTTTACATACATACGACCATACATCTCTATACACAATCACACCTGTTTCCACATGTCTACACGTCCATCTTTTACATATATTTCTCTTCTATATCTCTTTTCCATACAGCATCTTCCCTGCTTCCACACAGTTACGAATCTCCACACAGCCACAACTGAACATCTCATTTGCAGAGCTCTCTCACCATACAGAACTTTCCACAGTTCCTAGGCACAGCTCCTCTCCAGAGCAGCAGCTCCTTCACATGGCTCTCTCTCTCTCTCTCTGTCTCTCTCTGTCTCTGTGTCTCTGTCTCTGTGTCTCTGTCTCTCTCTGTCTCTCTCTGTCTCTCTCTGTCTCTCTCTGTCTCTCTCTCTCACACACACACACTTCACTCACATTCTGCAGCGGCTCTCACAGAGCTCTGCACAGCCATCTCTCTCCACACCACTGCTGCCGCCGCTGCCTCTTCACAGCCAAACTCTGGACAATATAAGTTATATTTTCAGGGCCCTACCCATTCTCAAAACACAAGATAAGTTACGTAGTTTCTCTTAGGCTAGTAAGACCGAGACCCATGCACGTAGCTCTAAGTCGGTGAGGGGTCCCAGACATTAAACACCTGGCTGAACCTTGAGCTGTCAGGGTACGTGCAGAAAGGGAGCTACTGCAAGGACTGTGTCTTGATGTAGACAGCCTGGCCTTGATTTAGCAATAGACAACACCTGGGAATTAGTCTTTGTGTATTTTCTGTAGGGGCAGCTTAGCCTGTTTTGGACTAGTTCTAAGGTCTTTGCAAAATGTGTAAAAGGCTGTCTTTGAGACTGAGAGTACTGTTACTTTCCTGTGTCAGTAAAGAAGAATATTCTGGTAATATTTCTATTCATCAGAATTATACAGCTTAAACAGACATCCACAGCTCTGTGGGGGGCTGCCCCCCACATTTCCCCAGAGTGCTCTTGAGTAGGAGAAGCAGGAAATATTAGTTAGAAGGATAGAGGGGGAGAAAGAAATAGAAAATAAATACAGGATAGCCTCGAGAGGGCCGGGATCCTAATCCGTGGGGCCCCCGACTGTCTCTGCCCTAGGGTTTATAAAGGAATGCCACGTGGTGGAGCAAAAGACCTCCCCCTAGCACAGCCAAGTGCAGACCATCTCAGACACCTGCACTCAGGCCCGTGGTCCAATCAGCCTCTCTATGCAGACCTGCTGGGTAAAGCCATTAGGAAACCTGAAAATGGGCTCCCACACACAGCTAAATGGGTGCTCCGAGATGTAAAACACACTACTAAAGGGCTGTGGAAAGCACCCCACAGCTGTGCTTATAGGGAGGCATAATGGTGGCACATAAGAAAGTTACAGACAGAAAACACCCGGTTTCCACCGCCAGTGACCTCATGGCTTTGCCAGGTGGGGCTTCCCATCAGCGAGTTATACATCTGGTGGGTCGACTTGTCAAACACTAGTTGTCACCTGCTGTATACTCCCACAGCCCTCAGCACCCTGGAAGTAGCCACCCAACCTTATTGATCATAACTGGGCTTATTGACCTCACCTAGACCAATCACCAGCCCAGGGGAGCAGAATTGTCATGGCAGACCAGCCAATCATGAAAAAGATCTTGGTTGGGCAAAATTGCCTGTGTGGCACACTTCCTGTTTCCACAGGAAGAGGGGCTGGATTGGGTGGAAAATCCCTGAATTTGGGCAATCTTAGAGGTCAATGTTGCACGAATCCTAAATGATCTTATAATAAAAACCCGGAGCCAGATATTGGGGTAAATGCTGAAAGATCAGAGAGACAAAGGAACAAGCCACTGCCATGGTCTCACCTCACCAACTCCATGAATCCTTGACTGAGTGCCTCTGAGTCCTCAGCCGAAAGGCGCTCCTGAGTTCCTCATGCTTTATATGCCTTTCTCTGCCCAGTCAGTTCATTTCCGATCTCAACCCTCCTAGTGCTGGGATTAAAGGTGTGTGCCACCACTGCCTGGCTCTGTTTCTCTCCTAGACTGGATCACTCTCATGTAGCCCAGTGTGGTCTGGAACTCACAGAGATCCAGATGGATCTCTGCCTCCCGAGTGCTAGGATTAAAGAAAGGTGCGTGCCACCACTGCCTGACCTCTGTGTAAACCCGGTGGCTGGCTCTGTCCTCTGACCTTCAGACAAGTTGTATCTCTTAGATTACAAATATCACCACAGGTCACCAATGGGAGATGGTATGTGATGCCCTGGAGCAGGGCTTGGCCTACAGTAAGTGCGTCATCAGACCTCTCGTTTGCTCCTGTAATAGCTGGTCCGAGAGTCTGCCTATAGAGTGTAGGAATCTTTCAAAAGTCTGTCTGCTTCCTCAACCCCTCAGCACACTCTAGTCCCCGCCTCTTGATCCTTTATCGCCTGTTGGAATGTGAAGGCAGATGAGGGGCTGTGGCAGGCATGAACCGTAGCTTCCTTGAGCCGTGCATGCTGGGAGGCACTGTGGTCGAGGGCCGCAGAAAGAGTAGCATGTATCTTTCAGGAAGGACATGGGGCTGAGCATGGAGGGACTTGGGTCAGGGGAGACAGGTTGTTCTGCTAAACCCAGTGTGGAGCTACATGACAGCTGTTGGGGGAGGAAGTGAGGTGGGGACACATGGCCAAGGTGTTTCCATGTTCTTCATAAGATGGCGTATTGGAACACAGCCTTCAATGCAGGCCCCATGGGAAACATTTCCTGAGCTCGGTGGCTTGGCTCTTTGCCTGTTACTTCCTCTTTACCTCTCTGCTGAACTTCACAGAGTCAGAGGTTACAAACCCAGATGCCTTTGAGGGGGTGGGGTCAACAATCAAAGTCAAGGATGCGATGGGCTGGACCACCAGGCAGACAGCTGATCCGCAAAGAGCAACAGCCAGCTACTCAAAGCCTCCTGATTTCAACCTTCAGTCTCTTCTGATTTGGCAAGGGAAGCCCTAAGCCTTGAAAACATGGCTGGCATTTTAAAAGACAATGTATGCAGATCAAATGAAGACCATCTCAAGGCTGACTGAGCCCAGTGGTCATCAGTTTGAGGCCTTTCTGTGGCCTGTGCTGACCCTGGTACCCTGGGGACAAATCATACAGAATGATGATGTCCAGAACTTCTCAACTCCAATTGAACAGGAAACAAAATTTCTAGGAAGTCATTGTATAGCTTTCCATAGTGTCCTGACTTTTGACCATCGGTGATGGCCTAGTACAGTGGCCAGAGGCCACCGGTCATGTGTGCTCTCGAGTGTGAGGTCTGTGGTTCATGTACAGGGACATGTACAGGATGTCCACTGCCTGAACAAATAAAATGTAAACTATCTAACGGTTAACAAAAATATGACATATGTGTTGAAATAATATTTTTATGTGTTGAATTAAGTATATAAAATATACTATTTAATTGATTTGGCCCCCTCTCATAGAAGCAATTGATTGGAAATAGAAAGCTGTATGGGATAGTACACACCTGTAATCCTAGTACGTGGGAAACTGAGGCAGGATGACCTTGAGACTACATCATTCGATCCCATGCCCCCCCCACCCCCGCACCCAAAAAAAAAGAAAATAAGAGAAAGAAAAAAAATCCGAGTTAACTGATGTGGTTCACTCGTTTCTGTTCTCAGAACTGTTTTCTATCCCTCAGGCCAAATGTAATCCATGCATAGCTTATTTCTGTAGTAAAATTTTAGGGACATATGGTCACTCACTTCTGCACAGTCTAGCTTGTTTCTGCACTCTGTGGCAGAGCTGAGGCTATAGCCTGACCACCTGAAGTCTTTATTTTGTGGCTTTTTAGAAAAATTGTGGGGGGCTGTGGACATGGCTCAGTTGGAAGAGTGTTTACCCAACATGCATGAAGTCCTGGGTTTGATCCCCAGTACTACACAAACCAAGTCTGGTGGTACACACCTGTAGCACCTGCATTTGGGAGGTGGAGGGAAGACGATCAGAAGTTCAAGGTCATCCTTGGCCTGGGTAGTTCTATGTATAGTGAGTTTGAGGCCAGCCTGGGCTATGTGAGACCTTCTGGAAGAGGAGGAAGAAGAGGAGGAGGAAAAGGTGGGGAGGAAGGGGAAGGGAGGGAAGGAGGAGGGGAGAAAGGAAGAGAAAAGGGGGAAGGAGGAGAGAGAGGAGGAGGGGGAGAAGGAGGAAAAGGACTAAGGGATTAAAAAAAATGTTTGCTGTTCCTCTGATCATGGAGAGAAAGCAGAAGCATTTTACGGTCATTAGTTAAGCCCCTGCGCTTGAGAATACAAATAAACAGCTGTGGAATGAAGATGAATGGGACAAGGAAGCTTTGATGATGCACCCTGCACATACTTAGCGTATCTGGTGAGGAGGGATGGGACTTTGTTGACCAGAAAGACGCTACATGGTTCTCAACTGTGGGTCGCGACCCCACTGGCACCCCTCAGGTCTCCAAAAATATTTACATGATGACTCATAACAGTAGCAAAATGACAGTTATGAAGCGGCAACAAAAATAGTTTTATGGTTTGGGTCAGTCACCACAACATGAGAACTGTATTACAGGGCCGCAGCATTAAGAAAGTTGAGAACCACTGGGTAGAGGAAATGGAGGTCAGTGAATTGGCCTCCAAGCTTGAGTCTGGTGTCTGTAGCCAGAGATGAAAGGGAAAGACTGAGACAGATGAGCAGGGAGGGGCAGGGGCTGGGGCAAGCACCACTGAAGCAACTACCCTGCTCAGCTTTCCTCCATGGTTACAGGGGATGCTGGCAGGCTAATGCCTTTTTTTTTCAAAAGAAGCAGTTTCACTAATTCACTAATTCACTCACTCACTCATCCATCCATCCATCTATCCATCCATCTATTCATCCACTCATCTATCCATCCATCCACTCATCCATCCATCCATCCCCACATCCATCCATCTATCCATCCATCCATCCATCCATCCATCCATCCATCCATCCATCCATCCATCCATGCATGCATGCATCTATCCATCCACTCATCCACTCATCTATACATCCATCCATCCATCCATCCATCCATTCCACATCCATCCATCCATCCATTCATCCAGCCATCCACTCATTACTTCATTCATCTGCTCATTCATTCATTCATTGATTGGACATGCTGGGGCCTATCACATGCACTGGACACTTGTGATATCCACACTCTGATCACTGACTTCACAAAGTTGTCACAAGAAACAAGCGAGGAGATAGCATCTGTAAGACATAGCCCGAGGCTGGGGAGAGGGCTCAGTGATTAAAGCATTTGACCTACAAGCCTGAAGATCTGAATTCAGATTCCCCAGAATCCACAGAATGCTGAGTGGACATGGCAACCTGCTATAATTCCAGTCTCAGAAGGCAGAGACAGGAGCGCCCCAGAGTAAGCTGGTTGGTGAGGTTTAGCCGTATTGGCCAGCTCTGGGATTAGTTGAGAGAGCCTGTCTCAATGAATAAGGTGGACGAGCCATTGAAGACAGTCCCTGACACCAGCCTTGAGCTTCACATGCACATACATGCACTCCCAGGTGCATCAGCACAAAAGTGTGCCCACACACATGTAAACATACACAGATGTCCACACACCATATATATAAACTACTATGGTCTGCCTGTGTGCCACACCAATTATCGGCTGAGGAGAAGTGGGAGGAGACTGATGGACTCAGATGTGAGGCTCAAGGATCTATGCTAAGCAGTGTTGTTCTGTTTATCTTTAGACCTTCTTAAGAACTGTGGGCGATGTACTTCTGCTGCCCAGTTGGACCCACGTATCAGAGGTAAGAGGAAGGATGCTCTGACCTTCAGTGTGCGTGTACTGGGTTATGACTGTCTTCCTGCAGTGGCATCCCAGGGCCTTTCCCGGTCCTGATGTCTGAGACGCTGAAGTTCATTACCCTTGGTCATGAAGTATACCCAGGGTACTGTGTCTTCTGGTCTGCTGGGGACCCTGGTATCCCCAGTCCCGTGCCACCACCTCTGGCTCTGGGAAAGGGCCCAGCTCTTCCAGAAGGCTGACCTTTGCTTGTCATTTTGCACAATGCATTTTTTTTCTTTAGTCTGCATTCTTGAATAGTCATAAGAGCCATATTTGGTATTTTAAGATCAGCGGATTGAGGGAGACGGGAGCGCGAAAGTGTGCTTCATGATTAAAGTGAGAAAATGAAAGGCTTTTGTCCCTCTGCACTCAAAATTCAGGAAGCAGAACGGAGTGCTTTTCTTTGATTCCAAACCACCCTATTGATATTGCTTCTTTAAAACATGAGAACAGTCGATGAATAGTTGTGGCGACGGCCGGTGATAAAAATACCTAAGATAAGAATCACCTAGATAAGAATCTGCCTTTAGGCAGAGCGTGACGGTGAGCAGCCTCATCTGACCCCACAGTCTGGTCCAGAGCCCACTCACGCACATTCGCTCTACAGACATCTGGTGGGACCTGCTTTTCCTTAATTCTACCAAGAACGTTTGCCAAGGTGGGGTTGGGGAGACGGCTCACAAGCATACACACTGGAGTTCAGATCCCAAGCACCCACACAAATGCCGGGTGGGCATGGCAGGCCCCCTTAAATTCCAACCCGGGAAGTCAGAGACAGGTGATCCCCAGAGCAAGGTGGCTAGCCCACCATATAGGTGAGCCCTAGGTTTGGTTGAGAGACCCCACCTCAGTGAGCGAGAGGGAAGGGTGATTGAGACTGGTGCTCAACATGAACCTCAGGCCCCACATGCACACATGCACATGTGGACATAGAGACCCATATGCATGCAAACATGCACACACATGCATACCACATACACACACAAATGGGGAGAAAGACCATTTGCCAAGGTACTCTGAACACCGTGTTCGTCAGGTCAGTATAGTCCATGCTACAGTAACAACAGACCCCACTTCACAGTGACTTGGTACAGTGGGCATTCACCTCTCAAATATTCAGAGTCCGTGTTGGGACTCAGGAACTCAGCTCTGCCCAGCTTCTGTGCCACACACGGCTTCCAGGAGTTCAATGGGAGGGACGATGAAGGCCTCCCAGGTGCCCAGGAGGGCCCTGATCACACCAGCATGCTGAAGTGCTCGCTCTCCTGGAACCTCCTCATTTCAAACATTCAGAGGTTTTGCAAGGTTGAGAGGCAGAGGCGACAGCCGGTTCTCACCGCATTGATAAGATGGCGTGAGGGTCTGCGTGTGCCGTGAGCCCTTTATCGAACGGCTTCACGTGAGACGAGATTGCATAACCTTGGCAAATGGGAAGGGAGTCAAGAATGTGATGTAGGAGAAGATGGCTTATGTAGGAGATGGCTCAGTGGTTAAGCAACACCGACTGCTCTTCCAGAGGTCCTGAGTTCAATTCCCAGCAACCACATGGTGGCTCACAACCATCTGTAATGAGATCTGGCGCCCTCTTCTGGCCTGCAGGCATACACGCAGGCAGAACACTGTATACATAATAAAATAAATCTTAAAGAAAAAAAGAAAAGGAACACCGTCTTTTTTCAAGAAGCATAGACTTCCAGGGATAGGTTTCTAAGGGACTTTGTGTACAAGCTGCAGTCTGAACCATGGGAGAATAGCCAGTGAGGACAGCCAGAAGAGGGACAGCAGCCAGGGGAAGCCTCGGATCGGCAGATTTTTTTCTTCATTGATTTAAATGAACTGTCTTTGAATGTAAAATATGCAAATCTGTGGCAAAATATGAATAATTATGAAACAATCCAGGCTTAGGCAAGCTTATGAGCGTTGAAGAGCAGGACACGCATGAA